GCTCTTGCCTGGCTTATGGTAGTGATAAATTCAGCTCGTTGCCTCCCCCACCTTTTTTTTTTTTTTTTGATAAATAATTCATTTTTTTTTTTGTTCTGTTCATTCTAATTCTTTTAATGGCTAGCTTTTAGTCTCCTGCATCTCTCTTTAATTGAGATGAAGCCAGAACTTTAGCTGTTACGTGTGAGAAGAAAGTGCTGGAAAACAGAACAGATTTGTGCCAATTCTGAGTATTTCTCTTTGTTAAATAGATAGGAGGTAGGAAGTAAATTGTACTTCCTTTGAGCCTAGAAAAAAAAAAACTTAATGCTTGGGTTAAGTGCATTTTATTTCTGTACATGCGGAAAGTAAATAATGGCCTAAAAAGTGAGTACTGTCATGCAAATTGAATCTATTACTAAAGTGCTAGTGCTACTATAGCTGTAGGAGGTGGAATGAAAGTTGCATTTTAGTTCTTTCCTAAAGTTGTTCATCCTACATCTTGTTTGGAAGGGAAAATAAATTTTTTCTGACTTTCTTTTCCCCCTGTAGTTAATTTTTATTGATTTTCTTTAAACAGTTTGTATTTTTTTTCTAGGTAAAATTTTATTATTCAAGACTTGAGTTAAATGTAATTTTGCTTGGCTAATGAATAGCCTCAGTTGGTTTTTATTGGTCCAGCATCTAGCACTTTAATGTCCACTGTTACTGTTCATGGGGGCCATAATGACACAGGTAAATAATAATTACTTTGCTACAGCCCCATGGCTTTCAAAACACTTCACCAAGTACTTCATTACAGCATTGCTTCTTTATCTCTTTGTGTGGATATGAAAGTAATGGTACAAATCTTATGTTGTCTGTTGAAAAGTTAGAGCTGAACTGTGGGTATCCTGGATCCTGTGTTTGGAGACAAGATTGCTTACATGGCTGAGATATGGGTGTGAGACAAGGGGTGCCCTGACAGTAGATCATGTCTTGCAGAAGACAAGGAGATACAGCAGCAAATCTATGTAAATCTGCACAGTATCTAGTGAGTAGGTCTAATTAATGACAAATTATACGTGGAGTTTTGACAGTATTTTGTGCATAAATTTCTGAGGCATTCTCCTTGAATGTGAAATGTGGGTCCTGCCTTCCTCCAGGCATCAGGCTGATGTGTTTTTCTCTTGTGTTTGAGGTGCACTTCCTCTCTGCAAGCATTGCATAGGAGGAGAGGAAGGGGGAGTGGTTGTATTTATTACTTCAAGGCCTTTTGACATTCAGGTTTACTTAATCAGTAAATACAGAGCTATTTCTTCTGGCTCACAGTGCTTTGAGCTTGCCCTTTGGTTTGGAGGGGACTTGCTACGGATTCTTCTGTTTTCATGCATCAGCCATCACTGACAACGAAAGTAAAACTGCCAGTATATTAAATATTTGTCAACAACAATATGCAGGAATCAGCAGTAAAATCTTCGTTTAGTGTTATTCAGTTACTTCAATCAATTTGAAATGTGTGTGAAATCCAGCATTTTCTGCCATATTTGACTAAGTGTTGCATATTTAAGTAAGTGTTGCACACAAGTTGTCTCTGGAACCAAAATATAGAAAAATGTACTGTTTTTCTACCCTAGACATATAACAGTTTTCTTAGCTTCTGCATCCTCCCAGGGGAAGAGATCTGTTGGATAGAATACTAGTAGGTGGAAATGTGCCTGCGTAAATCAGGCCCAGGGGGGCTTTGTGGGTAATTACATGGTCTTGTCCTTTCCCTACCTGCCACACAGAAGCTCCTTATGGTCATCCTTTTGAGGAGAACATCTTGGGGTGCCTGTTTGGGAACCTGCAGTGCAATTGCTAGCTTTTTATGAACTGAGCTTCATCTATGTCCTTTGAGCCGAAGGAGCTCTGGGTGTCTCTTAATTTGCCTTTCAAAGGTTGTAGGAGTAGCAGAGCTGAGAGAGTGGGACAGGCATCAAGAGGAGTAAATTGAGTTCAGGTTCTTTTGCGTGACATCTTGGAGCCATCTGTATGATAAAAGCATAAAAATAATCTGCACTGATAAGAGCATTAAAATGGACAGTAATCTAAAAGTACAGTTCTATTTTGGAAAGTGATAATCTAAAAATGTCAATTTTGAATCCAGCAGATCTATTCCTGTGAGTATTAAAATATTGCTTGCTAAATTTGGTGATAAAAAGTACTGTTTTAAAGTATTGGAGAATGATCTTTTTTTACTGTATCATCTATGAAGCAGTCTATTAAGTTTCCATTGTTTATACCCATTTGAAATTCCGTCACTTAGAAATTTTTAAGATAGTTGTATGAATAATTATTTCCCTAGGCATTTCTTCCTCTTGATATTGATCCATTTAGGGTAGACAAATCCTTTCCTCTGAGAAAATCAAATAGAAAATACTGTTAATGCTGAGATAAAAATAAATGATTTTTTTTTAACTTTTTCTGAACTTTTAGAATCTTATTGGCAGTGCAGTCCGTTAAAATATTGTGACTAACTTGATTATTAAATGCATCCTTTCAGTGCAGCCAAATCAAGTGTTTCTTTTCTGTAATTAAGCAAGTTATTTTTGTACAAACAACCCTAATTCTCTCTGTCTCTGGTCAGAATTTGGTAGAAACACTTTTTCCCTAATTATGCATTTCTATCATGTTTTAAATGTTTTAACAAAATTTCTTTTATAAATTTCAAAAGGGAAATTAGGATAACAGTACTCTGAAAGCAAAGCAATTTGCCTTAGATGTTTTAAATCTGATTTCAATATTTCATTTTGTATTCCCATTTCTCATATCCAATTTCTTAAAACGCTGTTCTGTGATTATTTTTTTTCATCCTCAACTGTTTCTAATCCTTGATTATTATTTTTTTTCAATTAAGATTTAACCAAATTCCAAACTTTTAAGTCCTTCTTGAATCATTATTATTATCTTTGTCTTTAGTAGGACTGCCACTGACAAAAAGCATATTTACTTTTTTTTTAAACCCAGTTGTGAGTATTAATTTTAAGACCAAGTTTTGCACCACTATTTTTGAGCAAAAAAACTCCCTAATATTTAGAATGTTGGGATGGAAAAATTTCCTGCCCTTGCCTGAGACTTGTAAGCACTTTTTGATTAAAAAGCTTGGCTTTGAGACTGAAGCTGAAACCAGGTCGTTACTGGAGACTTCTTCCAATGTAAAACATCATTGTTTTGCTGTTAAAGTTTATAAAGAGGAAAGGGAGAAATGAGCACTGGTCCTCAGGAAAAAGGCCAGAAGACTGTGTTGTATTGTCAAAATGCAGATATTTAAAATGTAGAGACTATACATGCTTGTCACTCAGGGGCTTGTGTATCCAGTTCTAAAATACGGTTATCATGTTAGTTTGGTGGGTTTTTTTTCCCTATGCTTTTCCTCTTCATGCTGAGTGTTCAGAAGTACCTGCTTTCCCTCCCCTGGAAATGACGGCCTTATGCCTTCTGCGCTGTATTCTCTGAACTGCCACCAAGGCTTTGCTTCATTGCTTGTAAAACAAATCCGGGTATGGAATGAATAGGAAATGGAAATAAATTTTTACTTTGTGAAAAGTTTGACATGGAAAATCATGAAAAGATCACTCAGTCTCTTTTAGATTGCAAACATCTGTGATTTAAAGATATTTTTTTTCTTTTTTTTTCTTTTTGTTCTTCCATTTTCCTCCCCTTCCCCTGGTTGTGTTAGATCTTGTCCAAATGCTTAATAGAAATTGATAGTGTGTTCCCAGGTAACAAATTACATCTGTCTCTGAAAATGAGTCAATGTAATCATGACAAATTCATGAAATAAAGGAGAAATACATTGCTGCAGTCCTGGGGAACACGAGTCAATATGGTTTATGTAATTATTTAATAAAACATCTCTTCTAGTGCATTGAACCAGCCTAAGATACTGAAGCAGTTGTATTTATGCAGGAATAAACAAACTTCCAGTAAAAGCTGGTGACCAGAAGTATGCAATTAGGCATTTCCAGAAATACTCATTAAACCAGTCTGCTTAAATTTTAATCAGACTTCTATGTATAAAACAGTCTGAAAGGAGGGAGTAGCAAAATAAGAAAAGATTTTTATGAAAAGCTGTTCAGATTTTCCAGTGCCCCCAAATGGCTTTGAATTTTTTTAGTTTAACTTCCTGTGCATGGAATTGCAAATCTGTCTAAAAGTTAACAATACAAAATCCTACATGCTGGCTTAATTCTGTTTTAGGGGAGCCATATTGGTATCAGCACAGAAATACTACATTGATAGCAAAGCTGTCATAAAAATAATATGATGTGAGGATTAGGTGGATATTTGAAACAGTTAAGCTTTGTGTAGTCCATGTGAGAAGTGTCAGAGGACTGATGTTCAGTGGGTAAGTTCTTATATGAAAATAAAGCCATAGGAAATTCACTGTCACACTGAAAAATTACAAATCACCAGGCACTTCCAGTATTTTTTGGCCTTCCTTATTTATCTTCCTGGTATATCTGAGCTAAATAATGCAAACTGCGTTATATATGAGACATGAGAAGACATGTGTTGCCCAGGGTCATAAGGAAGTCAGGAATAGCCATAAGAGGTTCATGACTCCAGATGCTGGAATGAATTCAATAGATGTCTGGTTATGTTCTTTGCAACATTAAATTTGTATAGTTTAATGGTTGGTGACTTCCGCTCTTATTTCCAGTAAGCCTAAAGTAGCATCAGGATGCTCATGGATGGTCTACATGTACAACTGGACATGCAATAAATAGGCCGTCACTCGAAGCCTTTACAAACATGTTTGTAGACCTGTTAGAATAATCTGAAAGAGGAGCTCAGAGGGCAGCTCACGAAATGTGAGTGAATAAAGACAAGAGAGTGCATGTATCCATCCCTGAAAAAGATCACTCACAATCCCTTTTCAGGTGTTATCTGATGACCATCTATTTGTGATGGATCCCCTCATGTCCTTGGAAACTGCAGTTATAAATATTGTTGCTCTCGTATTAAATTCTAATGGTCACTGTGCTTTATCCTTGCAGGGCATCAGTAGCCTCTTCAGTTCACTTAAAGTGGTCAGGCTACTTCGGCTGGGTCGCGTGGCTCGGAAGTTGGACCACTACATTGAGTACGGAGCAGCAGTCTTGGTTCTGCTGGTGTGTGTGTTTGGGCTTGCAGCACACTGGCTGGCCTGCATTTGGTACAGCATAGGAGACTATGAGGTTATCGATGAGGATACAAACACGATCCGAACCGAGAGCTGGCTCTATCAGCTGGGGATGTCGATAGGAACACCTTACCGCTTCAACACATCGGGCTTTGGAAAATGGGAAGGCGGACCAAGCAAAGATTCGGTCTACATATCTTCCTTGTATTTTACGATGACCAGCCTCACTAGTGTTGGATTTGGGAACATCGCTCCGACTACAGATGGGGAGAAGATCTTCGCTGTTGCTATGATGATGATTGGCTGTAAGTACTAGAGATTCTCTGTCTCACACACACAGTGCCAAATCGCTGTGTGTCATGAATACTGATATCATAATAACATCTGGAATCATGTAAAATATTATGCAGCTTAAAATATTTTGGTGGCAATATAGTTATTGCACACTTTCTTATTGGTTAGTTTTAAAATCACAAGTGGGAGTATTGCTGCAACTAGCAAAAATTCAGTCATTTTGGAAGCAATATTCTGTCAATATTCTCTCAATAGTCTTTTGTAATTAAACTTTAAAACGTGTAAAGCCTGAAGTATTAGAAATGAGTTCACCAGAGTGGGGACAGACAACCTTTGTGCCTCTATTTGGTATGTGGCAAAATCTTTGTATGTCTCAGAGTTGTATATATTGGACAAGTGGGTCGGTGGGTGGGAGGAGGTCCAAGAGCATCTCATAAGGGAGAGAGGACAGTAGCTCTCTAGAGGACATGAACTCCATTGTGGGCTGAGCGTACAGTCAGGTCCTAAAGCAACTGGGATGATACTGGCCTTGGGCACCTCTGGCTCGCATTTCTTTGTTGCAAGGGATTCATGTTGCCAGGCTGTCGAGTTTTTGGCCATGTTGCGTCACTTCAATTCAGAGTCTGCACTCAAAGTGCCATGAGAGCTACTTGGAGTTAAGAACCATGCAGTGGCCACACACAAAATAGGTCCGGTTTTTCTAGAAAAAGGTGAAATTTGAGCCAAAAGAAGGAAAAAAATAATCTACTTGGAAGAGTATATCATTATATGGAGAAAGAGAGAAGCTTCTGTACATTAATATTACATCTAGAGGAGAAAAAAGTCAATTTTTGCTAAGTAGAAAAAAAAAAAATATAATGAAACCCAATTAGCAGCACAGTGCCTGCTATGGTAGAAATGTGAAGCTTTGATCCAGAGTGTCATTTTAAAGCATGTGCAGTGTTAAGCAGGCTGAAGGTTAGTGAGAAGACAGCAAGCATTCTTGATCTCATAGGGATTGGGATATTTTAGCTATAAAAATTGTTAATTTTGTCCTAGCTTTTTCTACTGCTAAATCCCATCATCTTAATAAAACACCAGCGTAGCATAAGGGAATTGTATATAAAACTTGGAGACAATTATGTGGTTTCTTTATGAGAAGGTGCATTAGACAATATAGCAGTGTAGTAAAAAACATACCTCCAAACATATTTTGTGGTGAAGTTACCTGTTTCATAGGAAATATCCTGACTTTTGGCTTATTGTTCATTGGGTTATGATCATGATGCTAGCTAGACAACAATAGTATTACTCAGTATTGTTATTTAATACTATGAATACTGAATTAACATAAACTTCATAAAATTAAGAAGGTACATTGGAGGTCTAAGAACATTTGGAATTTTACCTGCTCCAAATTCTGCATATGAAAATGTGATGGAAAGAAGCTGAATTTATGCAAGATTAATGTTGATAGATATCTGCTCTGAATTCTAAAATGAACTTTAATTTCAGCAAGTGTTTTGGCAATTTTAAATCTCATGAATGCAATCACATTTGAGGGAAACAATTTTTGTTTCTATTTGGACTGGTAGAACCTTACATTTCTAACCCTATAACTGTTGGTGTATCTGAGCACCTTTATCCTATGAACAACTACTTGGAAAACATTAGGGCTATTAGCAATATATGTTTGCGGGAGTGGCAACTAAGTAATCCAGTCTTTGAATTTACCTCGCTGGCTTTTGTAGGGTCTTGATTGCTTTTAACGTGCTGAAGTTTTGAGCTGTGGTCATTCCTCAGGATGGGAGGAACGAAACTGATTTGTTTACTTTGCAGCTATTTAGAGCTTAATTGTTGACAGACATTCTTCCACATCTGTCATAAAATTTTATGTTAAAATAACATTGTTTAACCTGTAGAATCAAGCTCTCAAACATTGGTCTGAGTTTGAACTAGTGCTCTTTTATAAGAATTTTGTCTGATCTGTTGGGAGTCTGAAAGGTACGTAGCAAATGTATGGGAGATAGCTGCGGGGAGGGAAAAGAAGTTTCCCGGCTAAAGGTTTTTTATGTCACTCAGAAAAATTCATATTTATCTTGGCCAAGTAACATGTTTGTTATGAGCTGAGCTACTCCCTAATATCACAGTTGGTGCCTACAGGTTCCTGTTGTGGTCCTCATTTTGCAGATGTCAGCACGTGAAACAGATAGGGGCTGTGGTTGTCCAAAGCCTCAGATATAAGCAATTTCAAATCAGTTCTGCTAATGTATTACTGTTCACTACTAAAAGGAAAGAGTATGTGATTTCTCTTTTATACTTTGCCTGCATTTAACACTGCATTTATTTTAACACCCCTCTCAAAAGCTACTGCTATCTTTCAGTAGCACAGGGAATACCATTTTTTTTTCCGTGAAGGATGCAGACAGAGTCTAATTGTTTGACTATCTAAAATTCTGATTGAAGATAGGTGGGATTTGCTGAGTCCAACCTCAAACATACCACTCCATTAACTTCTTCCCTGCTAGAGGGTTTGTCTTTAAGAACTATGTGAATTTATCTTGGTTTTGAAGTGGCTGGGTATAGTCTGGTCAAAAACGCATACAAATACATACATACAAAAATGCATATATTTAAATAGTCCGGTGAAATAAGCGAAGTTATTATACAATCTTTTCTGTATAAAGTGGAAACAACACTGTTACTTTTTTTGGAGGATGTTATCATTTATGTTTAGTTAAGACAATATGTTAACAGGATTGGTTTTGAGATTCCAAAATGACATTATAGTGTCACTAAAAAAAAAAAAAAAATGTATTTGGGGACAGATATATAATATTTCAAAGTGATTCCAGAAAAATTTTACTTTAAATAGGCTGGAAATTTTTAATAGGAGGGTGATTTTTATCCCCTCGGGCCAATTAACCTCCTGTGAATAAATAGTAAAACTTCCATTAGCCTGATGGGGACAGATTTAGATGAGCGGAAAGACAATTATAACATTTCCTTCTCTTTGTGCATTTTATCCTCTATTCTTTTTGAATAGCAATAAGCGCTGTGTGAAAAAACCTAGTGGCTTGATAAACAATACTGTGGCCAACTAAGCCCACAGTCTCAATTTTATTAGCAAGATCACCTTTGAAATTTTGTCCTTCTCTTTATTTGTAAAAGAAACTGAATTGTCTTGATATGGAGATGGTGGTCAACATGTGAAAACAGCTGCGACCCCTACCTTCCTTGTGTGGGCTCTATGTGTAGCTGCCCTACAGAAAGTTAGGGTGCAGGTCCCACTTCAGTGCAGGGTAAGCACTTGCCTCCCACTGGTGGCATGTTTTCTTCATGTTTGATAATCTATAATTATTTTTAATAGAATGGATTTGATTTTGAAAAACTCTTGTATCTCTGGGGAAGGCTGGACATGGTGTGTGTTGCCCTGAAGTGCATTACCAAGTGGGACGCGGTTTTGTAGGCTTTCTGGTCCTTGTTTCTAGCAAACTTAGTTTTTTCGTTTTGTTTTGGTTTACTTGGCTGAGTATCTTGAATAGTTTCTGGGGGCAAAAGTTGTGAATAGTAACGATCCTTTTTTCCTTTGGTCTTGGAGTGTTGTCTGTTGAGCTTCTTTGCTTCAGGAGAGGAGTTAACTGTGTAAGCAAGTGATTTTAATATGTGTATTTCTGTCTTCTGCACTGGCAAACTGACTGAAAGGCTTGTGGTCAACAGTCAGCACAGGACTATGGTGACATCCAAAGAGGATGTTTGTGTCAGAAGGGCTCAGAGTATTTGAAAGCATAAGCAGATTATAACTAGTGTCATTCCATGTGCGTTTAGTATTCTTATGCACAGAATGATGGAATTAGTACTTTGCAATTATTTTCCATCTTCTGTAAGACAAAATTTGGTTTCCTCTGCTGCTCAGCCACTGATATGTCCCCTTCTGCTCACTTCTTACTGCCTCTATAAAGTTGATCCTGTTGCAGAAAAACATGTGTATTACATTAACTCTTTGTAGACCTACTGACCACTGGTAATAGTACTTTGCTATAATGTCACGTAGCTGTTTAAAAAAATAAGTAAGGCTACTTCCATTTTCCTTTGTTATTCAATCTTTCATTATGACAAATAATAAATCCAGGTAACTTTTAATCAAAAATTTAGAGCTACATTAGTGGAACGATCCTGGGCCAGTGGGAATTATTGCTGAGTTGAGTGCAAATGTTGGCCTGATAAGAAAGTAAAAGGTATATGAACTTGCAGAAGGAAGGGTGGGCAGGTCATGTTAATGGTTCATAGAGGCTGGGAAGGAATGACTGAGGTGAATGAGCTGTGTGTGGGTATTGAGCCTGTGGGGCTGGCTGGGCTGGTTGGTTTTACTCTTGGAGCAAAGTACAAGAAAGTGTGGCTTGATCTCAACAGCCCTGGTTCCTCCCTTGTGGCCACCTTCTGCAGGGAAGTGCTTTCAAATGTGATGTATGTGCACGCTGTCTTACTGACCTCATTGTGGCTGCAGTTTTCAGGGAGAGACTGTTTTACTGTTGCTTATTTTGACACGGGGAGGTGCAAGCCCTAATTAGATTTGTGAGGGACTGCAGCATACTCATTGTGTAGCTCTGGGGATGTATGGTCCATTGGTCAGCTTCACCACAGGGGGATGTGGGTAGGTGAAAAATGCTCTTGGTTCTTCACCTCAAGTAATGCACATCTGTTTGGGAAGAACAAATTATTTTAAAATAAGATGAAGTACCCAGTGGCTGCTCTTAAGGATTTCTGTTCTGTGGAGGCTTGATGCTTCTGATAAGATATGCAATTCAAATTGGTATGTAGCTGTTTTTCTTAAACATATGGTAAATTACAGTTTTGTAAAGCAAACTGCCTTCACACCTGTCAATGAACTGACCTGCATGGTTTTGCCTCACTTTATTGAGTGTATGTGTATATATAGAGAGAAGTATGAGTGTTACTACTGGAAGTAAAAGCAATTAAGTCCTCAGCTTCATTTTAAAATGAATCAAAACATATTTGCTTATCCCTTTTC